ATCCATTTGGCCCTCACCCATCCAGAAAATAGTCATGATTTGTGCGGTCAGATGTGAATTCAGAGTTCTGAAATGCACTTAAAAACAACTGTATCAGTGATGAATTGATAGCTTATAATGAGAAACACTTATCATCTCCCAGTTCCTGTGGGTTGAGAAACCAGGGGCAGATGAGTTGGGTCCTCTGGCTCAGGACCTCTCACAAGGCCTGGACTGGAGTCACCTCACAGCTCAACTGGGGGCACCCTGCTTCCACGCACACTCAGATGGCCGAGGCACGACTCAGCTCTTCACGAGCTGTTGGCCAGGAGCCTCCCTCACTGTGGCCTCTAATAGGGCAGCTCACAACATGGCAGCTGGCTCCCCTCCCAGCAAGCAAGGGGAAGCGCAAGATGGCAAGATAGAAGGAGCCTCAATTTTTTGTAACCTAATATCAGGGTGACATCCCGCTACTTTTGCCATATTATGTTCGTTAGAGATGAGTCTCTAGTTCTCATCTACACTAGGGGAGGGGATGACACAGGACATGCACACCAGGAAGAGAGGCTCACTGGGCACCATCTTAGAAGCTGCCCACCCTTACAACTATGCTTTTTGACCATAATGGATTACATACCTTTTCAAATAGAAGGGCTTTAAGAACTGCTCAATTTGGGGCGCCTGGGTGGCTCAGTCGTTGGGCGTCTGCCTTCGGCTCAGGTCATGATTCCAGGTCCTGGGATCGAGCCCCGCATAGGGCTCCCTGCTCCGCGGGAAGCCTGCCTCTCCCTCTCCCACTTCCCCTGCTTGCGTTCCCTCTCTTGCTGTGTCTCTCTCTGTCAAATAAATAAATAAAATCTTAAAAAAAAAAAAAAAAAAAAAACCTGCTCAATTCACCACAGCCCCATCAGGACCCTGATGCATGTTGCCCAGTCGTAGAATACTAAGACAAAGATAACACTGGTGCCAGGCACTCTTGTAGCCAACAACTTCGTTATCCTACTGCTAGTGTTTCATTCTTTCTCACCTAGAGTGCGACCAGCTGTCCCCTATGTTCTGCCACAGGGGTCAGAGAAATGCTCTTGGTTATCACTGGAATCATAAAATGACATAGTTAAACATAAGTATTCGTTCTCTCCCAACCTGACTCCTTCATTCCTTGGTGTGGAAACTCAGAGACACACACAGCTCGGTCCCGGCAGAGCTGGGCCCCTGTTCGGTTCGGGGGAACAGAGCGTTGGTGTTGGGGCAGGTTCATCACGCTGCCTCCCCTGGCAGGCCTGAGGCCTGGATGGAAAATTGGGACAGCAAATAAAAGGAGAGAAGGAAAAAGGGAAAGAGGAGAAGAGCGGGAGAATCCCGAGGAAGAGAGGCAGGACTTCAGAGGGGGAAAGAAAGGCCAGGTGCATATTCACTGCCGATACCACTGGGGGGCTCTGTGACTTTCTGATGTCCCTGCTTCCATGCAGCGAAATTTGGAAGCATCCATCAACACAAACAAACTTTTAGTGTGCTGTCACTGAAAGGCCACAGACAGCAGTGGCTAAGACCTAGGACCCTGGAGCCAGAGTGCCCTGGCTTGCATCCCAGCTCGGCCCCTAGCTGTGTGCCCTCTGCAGGTTACTTACCCCCTTCCTCCTCTTCGAAAATGGGGATGAAATGGTACACACTGCATGGGATGGCCGTGGGATTAAGTGATTTAATAAATGTAAAGTACTTACAATAGTGTCGGGCAAATGGAAAATTCTATTATTTTCCAGCAAGGAGGAAAAACAGACTTATTCTCAGCCCTCACCCAGTTGGAGGATGGAGTGAAGCGGGGGACAGAAGGTAGAAATGGGGGACAGAGGGCAGCGTAAGGCTTAGGGATGGACTCAGGGGTGGCAGTTAAGGTAAGGAGATGTGTTGTGCATATCCCTGACAACATGAGCCAAATCAGAACGCCTCATGCATCGCCAGGCAAATCGAATGGATGGTCCTTTTGCCCACTCAGGCATCCTTCTAATCCTTTTTCACATCAGTCCTCTTTCCCCCTCCTGCTTTCTTCATTTCAGCTCCTCATGCAGCAGCTGTTCTGTTCTCCCTGTCGCTCATCCTCTCAGGGGACTAACCCTCCCGCAATGGAGGGCTGCAAGGCAGCTGAAGTAATATGCTGGAAATTAAAGCTATATACTAATTTGGGGAGGGGGGTTCCTGGGTGGTTCAGTCCATTAAGCATCCGACTCTTGATTTCAGCCCAGGTCATGATGTCAGGGTTGTGAGATCGAGCCCTGTGTCAGGCTCTGAGCTGGGCTTGGAGCCTGCTTAAGATTCTTTCTCTTCCTCTCCCTCTGCCCCTCCCCCACCTCGTGCTCCCTCTCTCTCTCTTAAAAAAAAGCCAACTATATATTAATTTTACATTTATTACAAGCCATATGTCATATCAAAATTGTTTAATTTTAATTTTTGGTGTTGTCTCTCTGTTCCCATTTCCCCCAGAGCTGTTTTCCTCTTCGGTCTTTGTTCTTTTTATTAATAGTATGTACTCATTTGACAGACATCTGATCAAACAATTGCTTTTCAAACTAGAATCTGTTGAGTACCTGATATGTCCCAGACTCTGCAGTGCTGACCCTTATAATAACTCTGTGTCTTCAGTATTACTCCTCTCCCTGTAAAGGGAAAACATACCTGGAGAAGTCATCACTCCCCTGAGCCTCCTCGTACACATTCCTTCTAGAACCCCTGAGTACCTCTGTGTTCCAGGCCCCCCGGAAGACATCAGGACTGACCTAGGCCTCACCAGGACTGCTCAGAGTCTACCTCAACCTGGTGTTGAGCACAGGGCTGAGGCCGGAAGGAAAAGAATGATTCCACACAGAAGTTGGGGTTGTTGTTTAAGGATGGTTCCTTACGAGGTCAAAACACTGGCGGACACAGTCCGGCTTCAGTGCCCACGGGACAAATTGCTACACAAAACTAGGGCAAGAACAGAAGAGAGCAGAGTGCCATTTTCCCACCTCACATTGCCCTGGAAAGAATGTCAGCAGGAAATCAGTCTCACAGTGGCTGGGGTGAAGGGGCCCCCTTGGGGCATGAGGGCACAAGGCAGAGGGGCATGCAGGAAAACCCAGGACTCAGCAATTACTGGAGTCATAGGGTATGAGGGGTCTTGAAGTCCTTTGCACAGGTGGGAATGACGCAGTGAGAGCTGAATTATGAGGATTATTGGTGGCTCCATTTGTGTTGGTAGGAAATAAGGTCATGCAATTATAAATAACAAATTGTCCTCAAAGAAGTGAAATTTTGTGTAGTCAAACATGCAGACATAACAATGTGACAGGTACTATTACAGTAAAACACACGGGGACTCAGGAAAGACTTCACAGAGGAAGTAACAAGTGAGCAAGTCTCCGAGGGATGAAGGAGAGTTTGCCAGATGAAGAAAGGATGGTGGAATATTCTAGATAGGAGGAATCTCACGTGCAGAGCCTTAGAGTTTCGACAATTCTTCTCATTAGAGGATGGAGACATAAGTTAGGGGCAGATCGTGAAGGAGCCTGCCAGGAGATCTGGAATTTATTTCATAGGCAACAGAGAGCCAGGCCAAACTTTTAAATAAGGGTATCATAAAATCACATTCTTTTTTTTTTTTTTTTGAAAGGTCATTCCAAAGGAAATTTGGAGAATTCATTGAGAGGTGAGAAGTACCCAGATGGTGGGATAAGGACCAGGGTCAGAAGAGGGATGGGACTGAGCCAAGACCCAGTGACCAGAGGTGAGAATACTGTTTCAGAAACGGTGGTTTCCGGGACAGGGGGTTCTGCGTGGCTGGGAGCACATCAGGTGGCAGTAGGAGAAAGAAAAGAAGGCTGCTCACCTGTGTGTGTGGTGCGGTGGGTTGAAGTGTCAAGTTCGAACTGAAGTTAGAGCAGAGCAGAGGAGTGGGCAGGGCCTGGAAGGATGCCCGGTGCCTTTTTTGATCCTGAATCCCTGCCCTAGCCCTGGGGCCTGGAGCCTGGGAGTGGGGAGCGGGGAGGAGGGGCTCCACCAAAGTTTTCTTGAATGAAACTAGAGAACGGAAGGAAACACGGTTCTCCAGCAGAGCCCAGTGAGAGCTGGAGCCGCAGTAAATGGTCAGGCAAGCTCTCTGATACCTGGCGTTTGGGAGGAAGCTCTCAGAGATCAGGCCGCAGACCCGGGATTAGTGAAGACCGTGAGTGCCGGGCTAAGGATCTTGGACACCACCTAGGATACAGCAGAGAGGGTCCTCCCGACCCTGAACTATGAACCCGCAGTGTGTTTGCTAAAATACTACCCACTTAGAAAACCTTAACTCTCTTTTTACCTTGCAAATACTTCTCCATAAAGCTCCCAAATCTGAAAATAAGCAAATTTGAACTAATTCTGTTCTCTGGGACCAGAAGACCCAATTCCTACCGCAAATAGACAGTCTCTCCCTTACGCGGAAGGCTCCCTTTCTGGGGGCTGTTTGAAATTAACAGCTGCAAAATAAATATACAGAGAAAAAAAAATAAAAATACCCCCCCCCAATCTCATCCATCCAAGTGCTGAGTTTAGAAGAAATTAAATGCTTTACAAGAAGAAAATGGAAAGGCCACAGACCTCGGACAGAAACCTAAACCCATGAGGGTGGCATTTAAAAACCTCCCGTTTTCTGGAACATCTTTTGTAGCCAAATCCCTGCCGCCCTCGTCCCCGGAACGCTCCCGCCCTCCGGCCCCCGACCCCGACCACCGCCGCCCGCACACGCTAGCAGGGTGACGTCGGTCGGCGGCGGCGCGGCCTCCCAGGTGAGGGGGCCACCCAGTCCCCGCGGCGCCGGCGGCCGGAGCCCATTCGCCGCCGCCGCAGGGGCAGGAGGGGCTGGGCTAGCCGGGGAAGGGCGGGGGACGCCGGGGAGGAGTGCGGGGCGGGGGTAAGACGCGAAAGCGAGCGGCGAGGAGGAAGAGCGCGGCGCGGGGCGGGGGCGCAGGGGCGGGAGCGGCGGGGGCGCGCGCCGACGCGGGGCCAGCCCTGCCTCGCCCGGGTCGCGGGCGGACGCGCGCCGCAGTCGGAGCCTCAGACGCGCGGCGCAGGGGACAGCGCGGGGCGGCGGGAGGCGGCGGCTCCGTCGGGAACGGACGCCGTCCACGCTCCAGGGTTCCGGGGGCTCAGCAGCGGTGGGCGCGGCGGAAGAACGTGAGTAGCTCCGTGCGCGTCCGGCGGTGGCACTCGGTCCTGCTCGGGGGCGACGGCTGGAGCGGAGGAGGGTGCGGGGGCTGCTGTGTTGTCACTCGGACGCGGGCCCGGGGTTCAGCGGAGCGCCCTCCAGGCTGGCAGCGCCGCGCCACTCTCTCTGCGGCAGGGCGAACCTGGTCGCCAACTCCCTTCCTCCCCTCAGGCCTGGGACGCGCCCGCGGGCGCCGAGCGGGAGGAGGGGGACCGGCGCCCGGGCGGGGGCACGCTGAAATGCGGCAGCCCTGGCCGGCGCAGGCGGGCCCTTCACCTCCTCTAGTCTGTGGCCAACTTCTGCATCCGCGCCCGCGCCCCGCGCTTTCCGGGGAGCCCTCTCGGGGGTCCCTGGGTGGGCAGTTGGGCCTGGCTGCAGGGGCCCGGCACCGCGGCTTGCCGGGCATGCACACGGCGGGCGCGGGGTGTCACGCCACGGTGCCGGCGGGACGAGGAGCGCAGGTGCCGGGCCGGCGCGCACCGGCGAGTGCGCGTCCGGGTCCCCGCGGACACATCTGGGCGTGGGCTTTGTTCGGATGTGCTCACACCTGCGCCGATCGCTGGTACTCGGGGCCGAGGCGACCTCCACTCGCCGCCCCGGGGGAGAACTTGGGGAATCAGGGGGAACGGGAGAGACCGCGAAGGCAGCAAGGTGGGGCTTTCCCGGGGTTTTGTTGGCCCTACAGGTGCGGGTTCCCGGGGTCCCGGCGCCCCGCCCAGCCTCCGGAGGCTGGGACTTTTGGGGGCTGGCCCACCGGTTTGGGGGCTGACCCAGAAGAGAGCCCCTTCCCTGCCCGGACTCCCAGGAGTGGACTCTGGCCGCAGCTTGGCCCGGGGATGCTGTGTTGAGCCGGGAGCTATTGCCGGCTTTGGAGCATCCATCTCGCCGCGAGCGCCATCTGCGCGGTGCGCCGCCCCCGGCGCCCTCCGGGCCGCGCGGGTGGGCGCCGCCGAGTGTTGGTCCCCGGCCGCTCGCCGGCTCGGCCATTCCCGGCCCCCAACTCCCCGCGCGCAGAGGGGTCCCGGGGTGCCGCGGTCGAGCGGAGCTAGGGACTCGTCATCACTCCCGGAGCGGTGCACCCTGGGCAGCAAGCGCTGCCGGAGGGTTCCTCCGGCCCTGGGGGCTGGCGATTAGGCCGCTTCCCTTCGCTCCCGATCGCCTCTCCTCTCCCCGGCTCCCGGCCCTCGGCCGCATCCTCTGTCCCCCCGCACGCTCGGGGGCCGCCCCTGCGCAGCTGCGGGCGCGGAGGGAGGGCGCCGAGTGGAGGAGCCTCCTTCCACCCCGCCTCTCTTCTGCCTTCCCCGTAGCTGTTTGCCCTAAGAGGGAAGCGTTCTCTTCCTTCTCGGTCCCGCATGGTTAACGCACAGAGGTGCGGGTCTGAGGGGCTGGGCCCTTCCTCGCCCGAGGCTCTGGCAAAGAGAAGAGACGGAGGCGAGCGTCATGGGGCAGGAGGCTTTCGTTCTGCACCAGGAGCTCCCCCTGGGGCTGTCAGGAACGCGGTAGCTACTGAATACAGACCTGCGGAGGCTGGACTGCTTTAGGCTAACCATGCCGTGTTATTAAAATATTGTAATAGTTCGAGAGTAAAGGAGAGCTTCCGGAAATAGTGAAATGGAATTAGAGCACTGGATACTTTCCATTTTAGTGATAATGATAGTCAACATTTTTTGAGAGCTTCAGATGTATGTACCAGGCGCTGTGCATGGTACAGGTATCATCTTATTTAATTTCCACAACATATTACCCTATTCTTAAAATTAGGAGATGGAGTCTTGAGAGGTCAGGTAACTTTGCCAAAGCCACATAGCTAGGAAGTGGGGGAGCAAGGTTTAGTTTTTGCCCCTACGCTTTACCATCCATGACTGTGAAAATGGGGCCTTTTGGAGGCTTATCATATTAGTTTAGGGCAAGCCTAAAACCACCAAGTGATCAGGGACATTATAAGCCCATTCACTTCTGACCCCTGCAGACTCCACAGTAGCAGGCAATGTTGTAACTCAGCAGATTGTATTGTGGAATAGCCTTTTTATTGCCCTGTATCACCCTCGAATTCCTTTACATGTTCTTTTATTCCTGTTAGCTTTTAAGTGTTAGCCCAGGCAGTTACAGTCACTGGACTGTTTTTAGTGACCAGACTCCCCTGTGATTACAGAGACTGAGAGGTTCCTGGCACATCACAATTCTTGAGAAAACTTTTTTTTTTTTTTTAAAGAAAAGGGCAACGTTTCCACTCGGCAAGTGATTCTAGTAGACTCCCAGTCCTGAATCTCCTTTGTAGACTATTTTGACTGCAGAAGATTTATTCCTCACATTGGATATTGAATTTGAATAGGACTCTAGTATAAAATTTTAGGAAAGCATTCCATACTGTAAAGATTCTCCATATTAACTAAATAAGAGTTTGAACTAAAGTGAAAGCTGTTCCTGGGATGGCTTTTAGAATGATTGTAATTGACCAACTGCAAAAGTGAATTCATTGTGCATTCTTAATCCTTCTGACTCATGGTCTTCCTTCAACCTGCTTTGTACTTCATTACAGGAAAGTTGCAAAACATTTCACATCATCCAGGAATTTGAGAGCTGTAAGAGAACACTGTATTTAAATGTTTCAGTTTCAAAATGAGTACAGTGGGGCTTGGAGAGGTCACTCAGCTGCCTCATGCAGGGTAGTGAGGCAGGCCAGTATCCCGACATGACATCATTTTGTTGCTGCAGCAGGGACGGTGAATGAAAAGCAAGTCATCTTTGGCAATGGTACTTCCTGTGAGGCTGATGTGACCGTGACAAAGATAGCCGGGGGTATAAGTGCTTCAGAAGTGTGAGAGGGGCTGCGGAAAATTTCCTTAAGAATCATTTCAGGGGTGCCCAGGCGCCTGGGGGGCTCAGTCAGGTAAGCGTCAGACTGTTGGTTTCTGTTCAGGTCATGATCTCAGGGTGGTGAGATCAGGCTCTGCTGCTCAGGGTGGAGTCTGCTTGAGATTCTCTCCCTCTGCCCCTCTCCTTGCTTGCTCTTTCTCTCCCTCTCTCTCTCTCTCAAAAAAGGAATCATTTCAAATAATGTTCTCATGGAGGTGGAGTTTTCCTTGTGTAATTGGCTGAATATAAATAAAATATGCAGATATTATATTGTGTATGTTCAAAGGAGCTATTTAAGGAACCCCACAGGACGCTTTTCTGGTAAAGAGATTCATTCATTCATTCATTCATTCATTCATAAATATGTACTGCATGCATGGCCTACTGTTCTAGGCACTGGAGATACAGTGTTGAGCAAAACAGAGTTCCAGCCTTCAGGAAGATTAATTCTAACTTTCTCATCTAGGGCTGCATACTTCTGCACACTTCTGCATATAGACTCTTTTTTCACATATCATAAACGTACAGCTTGATGAACTTGCTCAAACCCAACACACCCATATAACTAGTGCTCAAATCAAGGAACAGAACATTATGAACGTCTGAGGAAGCCCTCTTGTGGCTCCTACCAGTCATTACCCCCTCCCTTAAGGGTAAGCACTGAGACACCCATGCTTTTTTTCCTGAGATCCTCGCCAGGAAATCAGAAGGATTTCGTTTTAGTCAGCTTGGCCTGCCATAACAAAATATCATAGACTGGGTGGCTTAATGAACAGAAATGTACTTTCTTCAAGTTCTGGAGTCTGGAATTCTGAGATCAGGGTGTCAGCGGGGTCAGGTCCAGTGAGGGCTGTCTTCCTGGCTTGCAGATGCCCACCTTGTCACTGTGCCCTCATACATGCTTTCCCCACAGGGTATGCACAGAGACCCCTCTCTTCCTCTTATAAGGCCACAGATCTCATTAGATTAGGACCCCACCTTTATTACCTCATTGCACCTTAATTGCCACCTCCCCAAAGCCTCATCTCCAAATACAGTCACATTAGGGGTTAGGTTTTCGATGTATGAATTTCGGGCTCACGGTTCAATCCATACCGGCCCTGATTTGCTGCCCCTGTCAGCAGCCTTCAGAGTCTCACCCCCATTTCCAAAGAACAGTTTCCATCTGAGAAGTATGGTAACCGGAAACAAATCTAACTAGAATATAGAGCTCCTATAGTATTCTTCTCTAGGAAGTTTTTTGTGTTCGCATCCGTAGACTGCTTTAGGTCAGCCTTCAACTGCTGAGGTGATTGGGGAAGAGGAAGTGATTTGAAAATGATTAAAAATCACTAAATACATTTAGATGTATTTTCCCTTTTATGTTTCATGTTGCCCCACCTGAAGGAGCCCTGCACCTTTCTGCCAGGCGAGGACAGAGGACTTCTAGGGATGCTAGGGCCAAGAATCCAGCGGCTTATTTTATTTAGCCCTTCGTTCACCCAGGCAAATGAGAAGCCGCTTTAGCTTTAAAGAGTCTTTCTTGCCATCAGGGCTAAAGTTTCTAAGTCTAGGAAAATGTGCCAAAATGAACTGATGAATGTTTACTTTTCCTCTCAAAATGTGAAGAACAGGGCTCTATGAGGAAAGCCTTGGAAGAGCTCTGCCTCCAGTCGTAGCAAGTATAAATTCTTCAATATCAGGTTGTCTTTAAATGGGGGAGCAAATGTCATGTTTATAGAAAGTGTGATTTTTTAGGGGGCGCCTGGGTGGCTCAGTTGGTTAAGTGTCTGAGTTTGGCTCAGGTCATGATCCCAGGGTCCCAAGATGGAGCCCTGAGTTGGGCTTCCTGCTCGGCGGGGAGTCTGCTTCCCCCTCTGTCTCTGCCCCTCCCCCACCCCCTGCTTGCGCTCTCTGTCTCTCTCTCCAAATAAATAAATAAATAAAATCCTTTAAGAAAAGAAAATGTGATGTTTTTGCTAAGTTACTTTTTTATTGCGATAACATATGTATCATAAACTTTATTGTTCTAACCATTTTTAACTATGTAGTTTAGTGGCATTAAATACTTCGAAATGTGATGCAACCATCACCACTGTCCATCTCCAGAACTTTCCTCATCTTCCCAAACTGA